TGTATAGTCAGTTTTCTAGATTTACTGATACACTTGTTTACTTTTTGCTCATAATTTTTATCCTTTTTCACATCTATGATTTCCCTTTTGTGGTATTCCCATGTGTGCCTGTTATTTTTAAAATATGTGCCAGATGTGGCATTTGAAAATTCGTCTGAGGGAGTCCTCTGAGCCTAGGATAATGTTCACCCTCTGGAAGAAGATAGGTGTACACAGGAACATTAGCCATCCAGTGTCACTTGAACTCACTTTTCAGGCATTAAGCTCCATTTCAGTTGGATGCACACATGCTACTGGGGTGTGGGTCCCAGTCTGAACCGATGGTTTATCAATTCTCCTTTCCTCTTCACAGTAGTTCTATATTCCTTTTGTCCCTCTAGCACCAGTAGGCTCTCAGAAGGGTCATTCACCTCCACAGCTGCTTTTGGGAAAAAGTGGCTTCATGTTGGAATTTAATCTGTCTTCTCTTGGATCTTGGTTTGGCAATTCTTGCATGTTTCTATACCTTCAAGTAGATGTCTATCACTTCTGGTTCTCAGCGGGAAGCTTAACCTGAAATACTTAGTTTGCTGTCCTTGGAGGTGGCTGTGTCCTCAGCCTTAGATTTTCCCATTTTTCAGCATTACGTTAGTTTCCAGACAACTTCCTTCCTAAAACCAAAGAAATTCTTTCCTCTCTTGTACTGTAATATAATTTTGCTTTTATTCTTCTAAGAGCATGTACTGTTTTACACTTTATATATCAGTTGTAGGGGTAAATATTTTGTTATTTCTACTAGACTTTAAGCCCCCTAAGGATAAATATATCTTTATATAGCTCAGTGCTTTGCATGTTAGTAGTTGTTCAGCAAATGTTGAGTTTCTTCCTTCTGGGAAAGGCAATCAAAGGGATAGTCTACACGCTTGGGCCCATCGACTGTATTAGAACTGCTAGGGAGGAAAAGTAGTGAGTAACTCCCTTTATCAGTTAAAATAGGGGGGTTAGGAATGCAAGTGTGATCCAGTTTTACTTCTGATAGTTAATTGGGGCCAATTTTAGTTGGCAGCTGCCTTAAACTAAAAGTACAGTTTAGAACCCGGGTTTTATTGCAGTTCTCAAGCAATCTCAATGGCAGAAAAAGTGACTAAAATAACTGGAAAGCTCATGTGAGGTAATATATCACACATGCCCCAGATCTTGCCATATTTTCATATCCAATGTTCAATATAAATTATTTTTTGTAATATAGGAAGATTCTCAACTGAGTGGTATATTTTCCATGAGATGAATAAAAACCTTATATTTGCTTTTTCCAAATAGGTAGATTAATTTTTAAATATATTTTTGCTTTCAAATAAGAAAGTTGGGTTATTGTATTCCCAGTTTAAATTTTTTTTAAAAAATTTTTTCAAAGATTTGTTTATTTGAAAGGCACAGTTACAGAGAGGGAGAGAGAGACAGAAAGTGAGATCTTCTATGCATTGGTTCATTCATCAAATGGATGCAATGGCTGGAGCTGGGCCAGACTGAAGCCAGGAGCCTGGAACTCCATCCATGTTTCCCATGCAGGTGGCACAGGCCCAGGGACCTGGACCATCATCTGCTGCTTTCCCAGGCACATTAGCAGGGAGCTGGGTTGGAAGTAGAACAGCTGGAATGCAAACTCGTATGGGATGGCTGCACAGTAGGTGGTGGCTTAGCCTGCTGCCCCACAACAGTAGACCCCTATTCCCAATTTTAAGTGGTTGCTTAAATTTTGGGTGTTGGAGTTCATGCTATGTCCTAAAACGTCCTTCAGGTCCACCCCCCCCCCCCAAACTCTTAGGAACTTTGTATTTTAGGCTGTTGCTGATTTCTTAAAGTGAATTAGCAGCAAGCTTGGATATTTTAACTTGATTGTAGTTGGGTGTTGTAGTAGAATGCTGATTTCCCAGTGTGCTTTGCTATAGAATGAATGCCGATTTATCATGTGAGGCCAAGTGACTTCATCTTCACTGTCCTTTTTTTTTTTTTTTTTAAGATTTATTTTGTTTATTTGAAAGACAAAGTTAGAGAGGTCAAGCCAGAGAAAGAGAGGTCTTCCATTCCGCTGGTTCACTCCCCAGATGACTGCAATGGCCAGAGCTGAGCTGATCTGAAGCCAGGAGCTTCTTTCGGGTCTCCCACGCGGGTGCAAGGGCCCAAGGAGTTGGGCCATCTTCCACTGCTTTCCCAGGCCATAGCAGAGAGCTGGATAGGAAGAAGAGCAGCCGGGACTTGAACCGGCACCCATATGGGATGCCGGCTCTGCAGGCTGAAGCTTTAACCTGCTGTGCCACAGCGCCTGCTCCTTTTTCTTCTAAGCATTCAAACTCTGTCAGTCTTGTGTGACTTCCTGAGCTGCTAGACATCAAGGACAGTGTTGTTGGGTCATTCTGGTTCTGATTCCCCTACTAACAATCTAGGTTCTGTGTTCCCTCCTAACCTCGTGAGGTAGCTACGATTCCTGTTTTATACAGGAGGGAACTGAGGGTTGAAGGAGTTGAAGTTTCTTGTATAAAAACCACTGTATTAATCTGTTTTACGTTGCAGGAACAAAATACTCTAGGCTGGGTACATGACAAAGAAAATAGGTTTATTTAGTTTATAGTTTTGGAGCGGAAAGGCCAACGTTGGGCATCTCCATCTGCTTGGTCTCTGGTGAGGGCCTTGTGTTTGTGGACATCATCACAGTAGTGGGAGTGGGAGTGTGTGTTGGGGGGAGATCACAGGATAAGACAGGAAGCCAGGCAAGAAGTGGGAAAAATCTAGACTTTTATCACTAAGCTCCAATTCTTAAAGCTTTCACCACCTCTTGATACCACATTGGGCACTAACCTTTGAGGGACACACTCAAAGAATAATAAAACCATAACAATTATATAGCTAGTATTTGGAAAATCTGAAAATCCTATTGTAGTATATCTCACTCCCTAGACTTACAATGGTACCTACTGACAATTGTGTTATCCACATTGTAAAATATAATCTTTGGATTCCCTTTATTGATGACATGTAATCTGTGCTAATTCTTGGTCTGTCTGAATAATTGGACTGAATTCAGCCTAAGAGTTTTTAGGAAAGTGATATGTTGCCCAGGCAGAAGAATGATGAAAATGGCACTGATTATTGAAAGCTCCCATTGTTTTTGATCTGGGGTGGGAAGCTTCATGATCTGGGTATACTTTCACCCAATATGGCTGTGGCACACAGTGCTCTTGAAGTCTCCTTCTGAAGGGGAAGAAAGTGGCAACCAGCAGTGGGGATATTCAACTCTTGTACGTCCTACATGGAAGATTGGGGTTTTGCCTGCTTTAATTTAAGGGGATACTTTTAAAATTAATTTTTATCTTAATTTTATTGAAGTTATATAAGTTGCATGTATTTCATATATACAGATTTAGGAACATAGTGACAGTCTCCCCCCTGCCCGGCCCTTCCCGCTCATGTTCCATGTGAGCAAATCATAGAATATGTAGAGTCATCCTGTGTTTCAATTTCGCATGCATAGTGCCTTTAAAAGTATCTATTGGCCAGCGTCCGGCTCACTAGGCTAATCCTCTGCCTTGAGGCGCCAGCACACCGGGTTCTAGTCCCGGTCGGGGCGCCGGATTCTGTCCCGGTTGCTCCTCTTCCAGGCCAGCTCTCTGCTGTGGCCAGGGAGTGCAGTGGAGGATGGCCCAAGTGCTTGGGCCCTGCACCCATGGGAGACCAGGATAAGTACCTGGCTCCTGCCATCGGATCAGCGTGGTGCGCCAGCCGTGGTGGCCATTGGAGGGTGAACCAACGGCAAAGGAAGACCTTTTTCTCTGTCTCTCTCACTGTCCACTCTGCCTGTCAAAAAAAAAAAAAAAAAAAGTATCTGTTGTGTTGGTTCTCTTTCTAGTTCTGTAATCCAGAAAGAAGGGCCGGCGCCGTGGCTCACTAGGCTAATCCTCTGCCTTGCGGCGCCAGCACACTGGGTTCTAGTCCCGGTCGGGGCGCCGGATTCTGTCCCGGTTGCCCCTCTTCCAGTCCCGCTCTCTGCTGTGGCCAGGGAGTGCAGTGGAGGATGGCCCAAGTGCTTGGGCCCTGCACCCCATGGGAGACCAGGATAAGTACCTGGCTCCTGCCTTCGGATCAGCATGGTGCGCCGGCCGTGGTGGCCATTGGAGGGGGAACCAACGGCAAAAGGAAGACCTTTCTCTCTGTCTCTCTCTCTCACTGTCCACTCTGCCTGTAAAGAAAAAAAAAAGTAATCCAGAAAGAAGATAAGATTAACTTAATTAACTTGTGCTTAATGGATCCACAGTGATGTTTCTTAGTTAATTAATAATTTCCTTTCCAAACATATGAGAATCATCTTCATTATTCATTTTTAAAAATTGTCAGATTTATTCATCTATAATTCCATATTTTTTTTCCCTTTTCAAAATCAGGGCAATTCTTGATTAAATCTTTTGGCAATTTTCCTATTTAAAATTTCTCAGAAATTACTTAACTGTGGGTGTGATGGTAACATTTTTTTTTTTAAGGATTTATTTATTTGAAAGGCAGAGTTACATAGAGGCAAGAGAGAGAGAGAGAGAATCCTTCCATCCACTGGTTCACTCCCCAGAGGGCCACAGTGGCCAGAGCTGTATCGATCTGAAGCCAGGAGCCAGGAGCTTCTTCCGGTCTCCCATGTGGGTACAGGGGCCCAAGCATCTGGGCCATCTTTCTACTGCTTTCCCAGGCCACAGTAGAGAGCTGGATCAGAAATGGAGCAGCCTGGACTTGAACTGGTGCCCACATGGGTTGCCAGCACTGCAGGCAGCAGCTTTACCCCCTGTGCCACAGTGCCAACCCTGTGATGGTAACATTTTTTCAGAACTCTGAGTTAGAGTTGCGTGTTGAAACTTAAATGGCTCAGGTAGATCATCAGCCCATTCTTCTTATTTTTTTATTCATGTTGTACCTGTCTTTCTAGTAGACTGGGTTCCTTTTGTTAAAATGTATTCTTTTTTATAATATTTTCAATATAGGAAATAAAGTCTTTGCTTTCACTTTTTGGCGGTCAGTTCTTCAGCGGTCAGGAAACTTATGGAAAGGTAAGTTGAATTTTTACTAAATTAAGTGTAGTATGTTTTTAAGTAGAACCTTGGATTTGAGGAAAAGAAATGCACATCTTAGATTTGTATTTGTGTGATTATTTGTATCCATTTCTAGAGGCAATGGAATAATGTATTTTGGGAAAAATTGTGGTATTGGAAATTAATGTAGATTTACTCAAAGTTCATTTTTTATGTTAGTTTTAAATTTTAATTCAAAGTTGTACTATAATTTGTCTTTTTTTGAAAAAATGACTTCTTTGATGAAGTGTACAGGTTGAGTGTCCCTCATGTGAAAAGCTCAGGATCAAAGTGTTTCAGATTTCAGATTTTTTTTTATTTTGGAATACTTGCATATACATAATGAGATATCATAATGAGGTATCTTGGGGATGGAACCTGTTAGAGTCTGAAAAAGCCCACCGCCCGAGGAACGACTCCAAGAGCCTTTTCTCTCATGTAACCAGCAAAGGGTTAAAGATTTATTGATTATCCAGCATGCTGGGGCTGTCTGATCATACATGAACAGTGCAGCCCCGAATAACCAAAGGTTAGGGTTTATAAAGGCAAAAACCGCAAAACCAGGAAGGGGGGAATACATGGTTGCTATGCACGGTTGCTATACACAGTTGTTAAAATCAAAAGAGAGTACATAAAATCAAAAGAGAGTATATGGTTACTGGGGTCAACACAACCTAAAACCTAAGTGAAATTAATATTTATCATAATCTTGACAATACCAGTTACAATATTACAATTAGCAATTAGGACTTGACATTAATGTAAGACACAGACAAATCACATCTTTATTATTAGCCCAGGTAACCCAGGTGCAACCTTTTTACTTTTAAGCTTGAGCAATCATGTTAGGGGGTTTTTGTGTTCTGCCAAGGGTGATGTAGTGTGCTGCTATTGTCCGACTATTTGAGATCATAGTTTCAGACCAGAGTCTCACGGTGGGGGGGTGCTTTCTCAGAAAGGAGTCTCAAGTGCTCCAAAATGGAGTTCCTACTGTCAAGGTGCTACTTCACTCTGTCTTATTTTCACAGCTGTACCAGGAAGGTTTAAACCTGTAAGCTTAAGCTTAACTTTTTACACCCGCACATATACAATTTTAACTTTTCAAACCCAAGTCTAAACACAGAATTTATTTATGCTTCACATACACTTTATACACATAGCTTGAAGATAACTTTATGTAGTATTTTTAGTGACCTTTATTTTGCTGTGACTCATTATAGGAGGTCAGGTGTGGAGTCTTCCACTTGTGACATCATGTAAGCGCTCAAAAGATTTTGGATTTTGGAGCATTTCAGATTTCAGATTTTTGAATTAGGGATGCTTAACCTGAATTTAGATACAAATTTAGAATTTCTCTGGATTTCAGCTTTATACTGTGAATCATTTTAAACTTTGATTTTGTTATATTTGATAGTGTTGTGTAAGATTGTCAGTTTGTGAGCTTTGTATTTTCATTTTAGCAATAGTAAGAGGAGTTTGGAAAATAGAAATAAATCATTCAGAATTCTTCCTTTTTGACATGACATAGAATTTGAGGATATTGCCCTCCAGTCTTTTTGTGAGGTGCTTTTTCCTTCTCAGTCATACTGTTTACCACCAACTACTGCAGTCTGTCTTTGTACTTGTTCCTAGTCTTCATCACTAATATATCTGTGCAATATTTTTCATCAACTGCTACTTTCATAATTTACCTGTTCTATTCAGGTGCTTTTTTATTTTTCCTAGTGAACATACTAAGGTGTCGATCTTTCTTCCTGCTTGGATTCTTTGAAGTTTTTTTTTTTAAGAGTAGTATAAATATTGGAAGAAGAAAGATTGGGTAAGGCAGGGAGGATTTCTTGGGAAAGATGAGAGAATTTAAGTTAAAAGTGACCTGGTGTTGGATTTTTATTCCTGAGTGACTTTCATTTATTGAGGACAGGAAGAAAGCAGGGAGGGAGGGAGTATAATTGAGTGAGAGTTGTGAACTGAGGTCGGGGTCCTGTTAAAGTTTTGCTGTGTCCTGACAAAGGGTTTACCAGTGCCTATAATATGGAGTGTTAAGATAGGGGTTGGGAAAACCCCCACTGATGCTTTCCCTCCCCTAGACTAGATGATAAAAATCAGTGAAGTTTGTAATGTACCCTCTGACTTTCCATTAGAGTTATTTCAGGGGACCCTTCCCCTGCCTCTCAGGTAGGTACTAGAGAAGTAAGTAAGAAGAGAGATCATTTAGTAACTAAGAAATATGAGCATATTACTGGGAAGTTTAAACCAAAGTAGCTGTATTGCAAGGAATGATTCACAATGATAAAATGTTCTGAGATTATACTTGTGGTATAGTGTCAGATTGCATAAAAGGGAAATACAAAGTTAACCTTAAAATTGAAAAGGCTTGAATTTAATTTACTGATAGTTTTCATTTATAGGGTCACTTATAAAAGTGGTCTTACACTGTACTATATTATCCTAACAGATTACTTATTAAAATAATTTACTTTTATACTAGTGGAGTATTTTAAATTTTGGTTAGATTCAGATCAAGTATCCTTACATGAAAGTAACAAATAGGAATTTCTCCCTGTTGACTTCTTGAATCAAGGTGTAAGAGGGCGTCTAGTCAACTCAGGAATGTTGGATTTTGTTATTTCTTTCAGTCTCCATTTTGGATCCTTAGCATCCCTTCTGAGGATATTGCGAGAAACTTAATGAAACGGACAGTGTGTGCCAAGTAAGAGAAACTTACCATGTTCTGCATGCATCTACGCCAGACTCTTCCTAAACTTCCTTGTCCTACTGTTTTTTTGTATTGGCAGAAAGGAGAAGGGGTGGTTGTGGAGTTAGCTCAGTTTAGCTTGCAGTTACATGGGTTTGCCACTGGAGGGTGATAAGAGAAAAGAGAATTATCTGCTGAAACAAGGTGAGTCAAGTGGAGAAATGTAGAAGCACTTGTTTTAGAATAGTTTTTTTTTTTTAATTTCCATAATAAGTAGGACTGTAGTATAAAATGTAAATATTATGTTCTTGTGTAGGATAGATGATATTATGCTTAGTTATAACTAAAATACTGAAAATCTAAAAATGCCTTTCTTATGGATCATTTGTAGTTGGATGAGCAGATTGATGAAGGGATTCTGGTTATCATATCTTGTTCTGAATTAATGTAATATCATTCATTGTATTTCTAAATTGTATTTCTAAATTTTACCATTGGCACCTCTTTTTTCCTTTGTTTTGAAACTGTATTTTCAGCTAGCATCTTAAAGATTGAGCAGTTTGCAGTATCTTTTAGTTGCCTTTTTCCCTGAACCTTTTGGTAGATTGCTAAAAATTTTTTTTAAGCTTAAATATCATATTTAATAATGCATTGCAAGCATGAATTTATATATATATATGTATATATATAGTTTTACTAACGTGGTTAGTAATGCTTTATGGCATGCTATGTAATTTTTGTATGATTGAATTGGCTACAGCCTCATAGTTAGCATCATCCTTTTGAGAAGTAGCCACAACTGTAAATCTAGTCTCTTAAACTGAAGCTTGGTAATGAGTCTCGCTTATTAAATAAATGGAAACATCATTTAAAGAACACTATTTAAATAATTAATACTTTAGCTTAGCATATGAACATCTATGGTATTTGGATCTGAAAATTATGTCTTTTTAGGTTTAAAATAATTACTTGGAGATGGGTGTTTGGCCTAGTGGTTAAGACGCTGGTTAGGACATTCACATTTCATATTGGAGGGCTTGGCTATGACTCTTGGCTCTGGCTCCTGACTCCAGCTTCTGGCTAATGCAGACACTGTGAAAATTTGAATTTTCTGTAGCTTTTTGCCTGTTTCATTAATATGTGATTTTATTACACCATTTGTTCTAGTATTAAAAAATGTTGGCTGTAGCAGGAGTATAACCCAGAGTTAAGATGCCTACATCTGACACTGGAGTGCCTGGGTTTGATTCCCAGCTTTGGCTCTTGATTCCAGTGTAGACTAATGTAGATCCTGGGAGGCAGCAGTGATAGCTCAGGTAGCTAGGTTCTTGCCACTAACATGGGAGATTTGGATTCCTGCTTCTAGCCCCAGCATTGTGAGCATCTGTCTATCTCAAATAATTTTTTTTTAATTTTTTTTTTTGCCAGGCAGAGTTAGACAGTGAGAGAGAAACAGAGAGAAAGGTCTTCCTTCCATTGGTTCACTTGCTGGCGCTGCACCGATCCGAAGCCAGGAGCCGGGTGCTTCCTCCCAGTCTCCCATGCGGGTGCAAGGACCCAAGCTCTTTGGCCACCCTCCACTGCCCTCCCGGGCCACAGCAGAGAGCTAGACTGGAAGAGGAGCAACCGGGACTAGTATCCAGCGCCCCAACTGGGACTAGAATCTGAGGTGCTGGTGCCGCAGGCGGAGGATTAGCCAAGTGAGCCACGACACCGGCCATCAGATAAATAATTTGTAAAATATAATCATGAGAACTTGGGAAAATCCTAATCGAATTTCTCTCCTTCCTTGTAAGATTCAACTTCTCTATGTGTTTTAGACTTCAGATAAAATTTGTCTCCAGGATACATATTTGTCATTTATTGCTTAGAAGATGTATACAGTCATTATTTTTTATGGAGCAGACATAAAGAACTGGCAAATAGCTGTTATATATTACTGAATGAACTAAGTTTGTTACTGAGGTTAGTACCAATCATTTATTTCCTAGGTCTATATTTGAACTGTGGGGTCATGGAAAATCTCCCGAAGAGCTGTACAGTTCTCTTAAAAATTATCCTGTGGAGAAGATGGTGCGTAGTGAACTGTGATTTTATATATGCTTATCTACATACTTGTAGAAAAACTAAGTATCAAAAGATTTATATGCTTTTATTTTACAGATTCCATTTCTGCATTCTGATTCTACATATAAAATAAAGATTCACACATTTAATAAAACATTGACACAGGAAGAAAAAGTCAAACGAATAGATGTAAGTGAATTTTAAAGCCCCTCTATAGAATTATTGTAGTTCAGCCATTAGTGATACGTAAGACACTAGACATAAGACACTAGACAAGCCGTAAGACTCTTTTAAGTACTTGTTTTATACATACTGTACTGAGTGCTTTTTGTATTTTATGCTATTTAATGCTGACAGCAGACTTATAAAAGATGTTGATAAGCCCTGCTTTTCCTTGTAGATTTCTATAAAACATTAGAATTACTCTTTTTTTTTAAAGGCACTTGAATTTCTGCCATTTGAAGGAAAAGTGAATTTGAAGAAGCCACAGCATGTATTTTCTATTTTGGAGGATTATGGCTTGGACCCAAACTGTATCCCTGAGAATCCACATAATATTTATTTTGGTAGATGGGTGAGCAAGTATTCTTTGTATCTACCTCAGTTTGTTTTCTTTAAAAGCTCAGTGTTTTGGCCTTTGTATTTGACTCTTTATATTTAGAACTTTAGGGCAGATGAACAGTTAGAACTACTATGTGGATTAAAATTGGTGATAAATACGTGAATCTGGTCCCCCCCCCCCCCCCCGCCCTAGACTCCTATGAAGTGCAAGAGACTGGTTAGATACAGAGCTCAGGGGAAGAAGGCACATTAAAGCAAGACTTGCCAGAAAATCTGAATTGTTTTAAATAAAGGCAGAGCGCTGTGATAGTTGATGGATCTTGTTTGTGAAGCTCCATATTAGGACTTCCATCTTACGAATGACATTACTGTAGAGCAGTTCTTCCCACTTCCCAGCAGCTGTCATGGGTAAGAGGAGGCTGAGACTTACGTCACAGGTTATTGTTATTAGGAGAAAAAGCAAAGCTTAATTAACACCAACCCTGGAATGATTGCATTCAGGTTCAATTCATACTTGGTTTGAAAAGACAAAGTAAATGGGAAGGCATTAAGAAATAAAATTTATCTGTCTATAACTACTTGAATCACATTATTTTTAAGGAACAAATTTAGAGCCTATGAAATTTAGAGTAAATGAAAAGTTCTCAGCAGCAAGTACTATGGTTTTACTGTGAATGATTATCTTAAATTTGTTCTGTATGGTGATACTAATTTAAAAAAAATCTCTGCTCTAGATTGCAGATGGACAGAGAGAGCTTATTGAGTCATATAGTGTCAAAAAGAGACACTTTATTGGAAATACAAGCATGGATGCTGGGTTATCATTCATCATGGCTAACCATGGAAAAGTGAAAGAAAATGATATTGTCTTTGATCCATTTGTTGGAACAGGTATTTTTATTTTACTGTTGAGCTATTGAAAGTAGGTTACCGCCAGCGCCGTGGCTCACTAGGCTAATCCTCCGCCTTGCGGCGCCAGCACACTGGGTTCTAGTCCCGGTCGGGGCGCCGGATTCTGTCCCGGTTGCTCCTCTTCCAGGCCAGCTCTCTGCTGTGGCCAGGGAGTGCAGTGGAGGATAGCCCAAGTCCTTGGGCCCTGCACCCCACGGGAGACCAGGAGAAGCACCTGGCTCCTGCCATCGGATCAGCGCGGTGCGCTGGCCGCAGTGCGCCGGCCGCGGCGGCCATTGGAGGGTGAACCAATGGCAAAGGAAGACCTTTCTCTCTGTCTCTCTCACTGTCCATTCTGCCTGTCAAAAAAAAAAAAAAAAAAAAGTAGGTTACCTATTTGTGTTAATGAAAGCCATGCTGTTTTTACTAAAAGATTTAATGGACAGAATAATCTTCAGTTGTCACTGGATAATGGCTAGGAGACAGACAACCACATCGTGTGGAATGGCCGGTATTTAACCATTCCATCATTTCAGACACGTGCTGATATAATTTTATGTGTTTTATTCCAAATGAACCAGTGGGGATAAACATCTGTCTAATATTTTTTATAGCAGAAAAACTTGTAATACTACACATTGTATAAATGTTGTAAAGCTATCCAATTTATTTAAATAGAAAAATTCTTGGAGGGGAGAAATATCTGAAAGATAAGGTTAAAAAAGCTCATCTTCTTTAAATTGATAAATGTATATTTAGACAGAGAAAAAAATGGATCTTTGATTTGGTTTGTGGAGGTTTGTAAGTAAGTGTGGAAATAGGAAGAGTGATTATCAGTGATCTGGAACCTGGGTGCTGTGGCCATGACCTGGGTTCTGTATGCATTTAGTAGCTAAATCCTTATAATTTACGGTGTAGTCATCTGAAAACTCCAAGTTTACTTCCTCTGATTCTAGGAAGACTTTTTCTTGCTTTAGCTCATTTTTCTTGTTTTGCCCATACCCAGTGAATACTCGGAGGTAGGTTTGTTTGGTTCAACCCATTGTGGTTCAGTTTGTGGCAGTGTCTATCCCATAGCTATCTTCCCAACAAGCAGTGTTAATGCAGAGCTAACATACTAGGCTGTGCACTCTAACGCTGCTGCCTAATTTCTTACAACTAAAATAGAGACACATTTAAAAAAATCATCTTAGAGAAGTTATGGTACAGGGACAGCTTAAGTGACCCTGGTGAGCTTTGCACTGTGTAAGTGTGAGAGGATTCAGACTCGGTCCAGCTCTAAGCTCATGCTCTAATCTACTCTCATAGAGCTGCCTTTCTTTGCTGTAGGATCTGCCAGCCAGCTATTACTGCATAAGCTAGCTTAAGGAGTCTAACAGTGTAGGATTAGGAAGAAATAGTGTCAGGTCAAAAGGTTGCTCACTGATGGAATAATTTTTTTCTGTTTATTGCTGTTGAGGTAACTAGTGAGTCTCTTCTCACACTCTACTGGTATCTCCATATATCTCAGCCCCAACATATCTGTTCATTTCTTTCTTATCTTCATTGTTCTAAGTACCTCCCCTTGACATTTTAAACTGTTTAGTATAAACAATACTAAGCTTATGGAAAAGTCACAAGAATAAAATGAAACAAAAAATCCCACATGTTATTAATTTAGCTTCAGTTGTTGATAGTCTTTGATCTCATATCCTTTATCATTTGTTCTATTTGTGTTTATTTTTGTGACCTTTTTCTTGAGTCATTTGAAAGTTGCATCCATCAGATCTCTTTATCGCAAATACTTCAGTATAGATTAAAGAATAAGAATATATTCTTTTACATAACCATAGTACAGTTTTCAGTGTTAGTAAGTATAGTATTCATATAATAATTTAATATTCATATTTCAGTTTTTTTAATTGGCCCAATAATATTCTTTAATAGCATCTGTTTTCCTTTCTGATCCAGGATAGAGTACTGTATTTTTTTGTTAATATCTTTTATCTCTTTAGTTTGGAATAGCCAAAACTTTTTTTTCTTAAGTGAAATTTTCACTTTAAAGAATACCATCTCTCTTCTCATTTTTTAAAAATTCCATGTTTATTTATTTTCACTTTATTTGAAAAGCAAAGAGAGATCTTCCATCTGCTGCTGGTTCACTACTCAGATGTCTGTAGCATCCAGTGCTGGGCCAAGCCAAAGCTAGGAGCCTGGAGTTACATTTGGGTCTTCAGCGTGGGTGGCAGGGACCCAAATACTTGAGCCATCATCTGTTGCCTTAGCAGGAAGCTGAACCAGAAGTGGAGGGACTGGGATTCCACCAGCTCTACAGTAAAGGATGAGGGCGTTCTTAGAGGCATCTTAACTGCTGCACTGAACACCAGTCCCTTTCCTCCCTTTTAAAAATCCAGAGTGTTCTTCATTTGGAGTTTATTGATATTTCCTCATGGTTATATGTCAATGGTGCATTCCTTGGTTAGATTATGGCATCAGTAATTTTGTGTGCTTCTCAGGGTATAACCCCAAATAGTGACTCTTTGCCTCATTGGTAATATTAATTTTGATCAGCCAGTCACAGTTGTGCTTGATTTTTCCACTCTGTATTACTGCCCCCCTGCTTGTAGTATTGAGCAGTATGTGAAGAGATACATCATGGCCACATAAACACTGCTCCTTATCCAAATACCCCCATCACTTCTGTTAGATTGTCAGGTTTAGTATGCGTTAATGCTTCTTGTTTGAACCAGTCTTTGCTTTGCTGACCACAGAGTGATGATTTTCCAACTTTAGTACTCCCCTATTCATTATCCTATCGTAAGCGAGGACCCTGTCCTTTCCATGTTTCTATCTATTTATTATTAACATGAACTAGTGAATTCCCACTGCCTTCACTTCATGTATATAATTCATTACATTCCTTAACTAGTTTGTTTTCCAGATTGTCCTGGATCTTCCCAATGATAGCCCCTTCACACTGAATTACCTTTGTAACCTGCTCTCATCTTTTTTTTCTGTTTTCCTCCAATATTTTCTCACTCATCTTCTGCCTTCCCCAGCCCTGGTATGATTCATTCTTCAGGGGTGTCTTGTTTCTTTTAGATGGTATTAGAAACCAAAATCTAGATTCTGGACTCTTTCAGTGGATAAACTAGGAAATACGTATGTGTATGTTACCCGTCAAAGTTGTGAATATGCTTCTGTGTGACCACAAATCAAAACCTCCATCAGAAGCAGTCACCACAGAAAGTTATTTGCAGCAAATAAGTAGACCCTGGGATCATTTCCAAATCAAATCCATGGTTCTCCAAGCAAAGGGAGGTAGGTATTGTTTATCTTAGGGGAAATAAGTATACAAGGGGGGAAATACTTATCATCACATGTGGAGATAGGCAAAAGCTCATGCGGGCAGACTTTGGAAACATGCCTGGACATGTGTTACATGATGTGGTAATAGAGCTTGAGCTCCTCCGGAGCAGAGGTCTTGGCACTAAAGTTACGGACAGGTTCATCTTAGACATTCACACATGCTCATTGTCCTGGCTGTGGTCATGGTATTTTTTTTTTAAAAGATATATTACTTTATTTGAAAGTCAGAGTTAAACAGAGAAAGGAGGAGAGGGAGAAGGAGAAGGAGAAGAGAGAGAGAGAGAAAGAGAGAGAAAGAGAGAGAAAGAAAAGAGGTCTTCAATCCACTGCTTCATTCCCTAAATGGCTGCAATGGCTGGAGTTGTGCCAATCCAAAGCAGGAGGCTGGAACTTCTTCCGGATCTCCCACTAGGGTGCGGGGGCTCAAGTACTTGGGCCATCTTCTACTGCTTTCCCAGGCCTTTAGCAGAGAGCTGGATCAGAAGTGGAGCAGCCGGGACTCAAACCAGAGCCCACATGGGATGCCGGCACTGCAGGTGGCGGTTTAACCCGCTACGCCAAAGTGCTAGCCCCAGTTCATGGTTGTTTTCTAGCTAGGTTCTTGGGTCCCTTGAAGTCACCTCTTCTATCTAGGTTGAAAAGCCAATTTTTAATGAAATGTTACTCTTCTGTCTGATTATTCCTCAAACTCTTTTGTTACATGGATCACCAATACACGTGTATAATTCCTACATACTGTCTGTGTGTACATATACATACATATTTTAGAAATTGTGAATTTGCATGTAATACTATAAGTTCTGGTGTATTCTTACAGAGTTCTTTCTTGCTTTATCTCCATTCCACATTTATGTGCACCTTCTTGCACAGTGAGAAATTTGGGTTCCTGTCATTATCAGCCCATTTGCTCTTTTTTGTTCATTCCTATAATATATATAAAACAGCTTCAAAATTGCTTGGTGTGTGCCACTAAAAATTTAATCAAAAGAATTCAGTTTTGTTTTCAGTTCTCCACCCAATCTAATCAGCAATAAAGTCAAATACAGTTTGAATATTCTTTATCTGACACGCTTGGGATCAGAAATGTTTCAGATTTTAGAGCTTTTGAGATTTGGAATATTAACATAGACTCTACTGGTTTAGCATCCCTAATGTGAAAATCTGAGAACCCAAGTCCTCTAAAATCCAAACTTTTTGAACATTGTGTCAGCAAAACTTTTGACTTGGTAGATTTCAGATTTTGCATTGCTTCTTTGCCTCCTTCATTTCAAATTCAGGTGTTGAGGCTTCTTATGATCCAATTTGCCCTCACATTTAGGTTTCTTCCACTCCCTCCATTCCTTATTGATTTGCTTTTATTTTTAAAAATGAAAAATATTTGTTTTTGGAAGTCAGAATTAAACAGGAAGGTATACTTGGGAAGCACCATTCCTTTTCATGTCCTTCCATCCTGCTTCTCCCATCTCTTACAGGTGGCCAACTTCACTGTTCTCTAGGTTTTCCTAATAATGAGCACACATGTATATTTTCTTATTTCTGTTTCTTTCACACACAAAGATAGCACACTGTATATATTCTTAACTTTGTTTTTCACTTAATAATATTCCAGGAAAATCAGTTCAACTGTATTGTTTTCATTCTTTTTTTTTTTT